CAGAGCTGCACACAAAAGTCCATGATCATTACAAAAAAAAAAAAATGTCAACAGAAGAAGAAACAAAACTACAAGAGATAATGAAAGGTTGTAAAAAAAGACTAAATACCTTGGGATATGGATTACTAAAGGAAACACTGAACTGTTCGAGAATAATTACACATACACCTGGAAAAAAAATTAAGAAAGATCTTGAAAAATGGACAAAACTGAACTTGTTGTTTTCTGGAAGATTCACTGCTATCAAAATGTCCATCCTCCCAAAACTTAATTATCTATTCACCAATATCCCGATTATTGCAAACAACAAATTTTTTGAAAATTGGAATAGAGAAGTTAGGATGTTTATGGGGGGGGATTGAGGGTTAAGTGGAAGACTCTAATAGATAACTATATAAATGGAGAATGCAATCTTCTGGATGTACAACTTTACTTTCAAGCAAACTGTTTAATTTGGCAAAGAGATTGGGTAAACCTTCAGAACAGCAAATTACTTAACCTTGAGGGATTCAACAACTGTCGTGGTTAGCATGCTTATCTTTGGTATGAAAAAAAAATTAACAGAGACTTCAACCATCATTAAATTCACAGAGCAATTCTTGCAAATTGGACCAAAATAAAACACGTTTTCTATAGAAAAATTCCTAGTTGGACTTCTCCTCATGAGGCCTTCTTTAACAGAACCCAATTAACTACATGGCTAAGATACGAGGACATCTTGACAAAAAACAATTTACAGACTTAAACCAGCAAAAGAAATAGAAATGATAGAAATAAAAAAAATGATCCCTTTATAACCAACTTTCCAAGATTTTTAAGTTAGACTCTGCCCAAGAGAACGTTGAAACTGAAAAAAATGAACTGGATTATCTATTACTAAAAGAAAACCAGAAATTAACTTCAAAATTTTACAAATTGCTGCTTGAAAGAAAATTTGAGCAAGAAATAATCAAAGACTCTATGCTACACTGGGCAAAGGACATGGGCAGAGAAATCAATCTAGACATCTGAAAATGCACCAGGAACAAAACGTTAAAATTCACCAAAAGCCAAAATCTGCGTGAAAATTATCTGAAGATGCAATTTTGATGGCACTTTATTCCTGCAAAGATCAGCAAAATATACAAACGGAACAACTCCTGCAGGAAATGTCAGTCAGTGGTAGGCATGTGGTACCACGTGTGATGGGAGTGCCCCAAAATAAAGAAATTCTGGAAACATATACACAGTGAGATTGGTAATATTTTGGATATAAAATATGGCATGATTCCAGAGATATATCTGTTATATATGACCAGTAAATTACTAAAGAATGTAGAAAATCAACATTGGGGGAGAAAATTATTTACATGGTCACTGCAGAAAGATTACTCTTGGCACAGAACTGACATTTTACCCACAACAGATGATTGGCTACTTAAGCTACAAGACATAATGGAAATGTACCATTTAACAAACTTAATACATGGTAAATCTGAAAAGGAGACTGAGAAAGATTGGGAAATATTGTAAGAACAGATGGAAATAGAACAAAAATCATACTGATGGAATAAGGATAATAGGATTAGAGAAATTAAAGAAGTTATAAGAATACTGCAGTTAATCTAGGAAATAACAGAAAACAGAAGTGAAAGAAAGCAACAAGAAACAGCCACACAATTTAAATGTTATTAATGGAAATATAAAATACAAAATATAAGAAAAAAGAAGATGAAAAACCTAGCAATAATACTCAAGAAGTAGAAAGTTTATTTATTTTTTCTCCTTGCTTTGTTGTAAGAAGTATAAATAACAAGGTGAAATATACAACTGTACATAATATGAAACAAAATTGCAATGTATACACCAGGGGTAGGCAACCTAAGGCCCGGGGGCTGGATGCGGCCCCCCGAGGCCTTTGGACCAGCCCCAGGCCGGTCCTGCTGCCGCTGCCGCTTAGAGGTGGATGACTTCTATGCAGCTGGATTGGACCCTCTTAGCCAGGGGTAGGCAACCTAAGGCCTGGGGGCCAGATGCGGCCCCCCGAGGCCTTTGGACCAGCCCCTGCCGCCGCCGCCGCCCCCCGCCGCCACCGCCACCCGCCATGATGATATTGATTATTGTTGGTATTACTTGTTCTTGGGGTTTTCTTGGCAAAATCTCCACAAGGGTTTTGCCATGGCTTTTCTGGGGCTGAGAGAGTGTGCATGCATATATTTTAATTTTTTAATTTTTAAAAAAATTATTTTTATTTTTACATATTTATTTATTTATTTTTGGTGCTTCGGCCCCGCAATTGTCTGAGGGACAGCAACCCAGCCCCCGGCTCAAAAAGGTTGCCTACCCCTGGTATACACAAAGATACACCAATAAAAAGCAAGAAGAAAAAAAGCAGAGCTGAAAAAAAATCTGTTCAAAGAATAGCTTGAAAAGCTTGCTTGTATTGGACTATAGTTTCCATGTGTCATGAAAAAAACACTTGTAAAAGCGTGATAAACGCAACTGGGAAATATTTGCTTCTATTCAGTGCAGAGGATGAAAAACTTAACTTCCAACTTCAGAGAATTTTTCTTATTTATTAGGCTTTGACCTGAATCCTATTTGTGATCCCAACCAGAGGGGACCCATTGAATCAACAGGATTTATATAACAGCTGAGTTATGCAACTCATGATGATCAGTGGGTTTTACACAAGTTGGGATCCATGCCATAGTGTTTTTTATTTGAATGTAACTATGTACCTTATCACACGGGGGTCTGAAGCAGTCCCATCCCCGTGGCATCCCTGTCCCATCGCGCTTCCTTTCCCCGGGTGATCAAACGAAGTAGCAGGGAAACCCCGCCCATCCCTGTCGCATCCCCGTCGCATCCCCGTA